ACAGGTTCCTCCTTCGCCCACCCTTATTCAGGAAGACACTACTTTATTAAACATCATATCACTTGTTTGACTGACCATGTGGTTTACCTAATATCATGTCCCTGTGGGCTGCACTACATGGGGAAAACTGACCTCACTCTACGAGATAGGATGCGGGGCCACCAATCTGGGATCACGACGGCCTTTAGAGATGGCAGGACCGACAAACCGGTAGCCAAACATTTTTTAGAAGCAAACCATCGTCTTCCAACTCTAAAATTCATAGCCATCGATCATATTCCTCTGCTATCCAGAGGAGGAGACCGATCCAAAATTCTCCTTCAAGGTCTATTGTATTAGGACATTGGACACGATACATCCGAAGGGCCTTTACGAATATGTCTCCTTCAACTCGTTCCTGGACACACGATAATAATGTGATTTTTCAAAATTTTGGATGTTTTTGGACTTTTCATATATACATTTTTTATCTTCTTATTTATTTTTATTTTTTATTTTTTATAGTCTTAGTATATTTTTTCACTATTTTATTAGCATTTATTCTTTATCTTTCTTTCCTCTCTTTTTACTATTATTATTATTATTATTATGTTTTTGTTTGTATTGTATTTTATTTTTTCATGTTTATTTATTTTTTATATTTTTTTATATTTTTATATTTTTTTATATTTTCTATTGTTTCATTTTATTATTCTTTCGTATTTATTTTTATTTTTATTTTTACATCCACATTTATTTTATTTTTACTTTTATATTTAGTTGTATTATTATCAATTTTATTTATACATGTATTTTGCGATTCATTTATTTTATTCATTATTTCGTTTATTTTGTTTTTATTTTTATTGATATGTTTATTTTATGTTTTTCTTTCATTAAGTCCATCTCCAGGCTGTCTCTCTGTCTCTCTGTCTAACATATCTAACATTGCTCTGCAAAAAATTTTTGACAAATGTATCTGATTATAGCTTAAATCTTTATTGCTCTTATTTGATATATGTATCATCCTGCTTTGATTGTTCTTTTGCCAAGGCATCAGCAGCACTTATATGTTACTTTCTATTACAGTGTCTATCATGCAAATTTTTGAATAATACCTTCTATGTATATATATCTATATATTAAAAGGCTTGGCCTGTAGTTGTGGGAGGGGCTTGGTTTCCCTATAAAAAGGCTGCCAATCCACTCCCACATTACCGTAATGGTCTGGCGAGTCAACCCACCCACCACTCCCTCTATTACAAACACCCTCTAAGGTGGGCCCACTTTTACAGGCCTACTCCTCTGTCGGTTTCGGCACACCACAACCGACTAATTCCAATATTGATATGTTATCATATGCTATGTTTCCATATACGGCTATATTGCCACGACCACAAATATATATATATATATATATATATATATATATATATATATATATATATATATATCTATATATATATATATATATATATATATATATTTGTATATAGAAGAAGAGTGGAGCTGAATGAAGAAGGAAAAGACCAAATAATTGAGTGTAGGAAAGGGGGAGAGTGTAAAGAAGGAGCAAAGAAATCAAGTGTCTCAATAAAGTGATATGCAATAAGGGATGGGAGTGGTGTGTGTGGAGATTATAAGTGAATGTGGGAAAGATTAAATGAAATGAGTGACGTAAAAAACAGAAGTGAGAGAGTGTAAAAAAAGTGTGGGCTATATACAGATCAATATACAAATATTTATGTACATAGAAGGTATTAATCAACAGTTTGCATGATAGACACTGTAATAGAAAATAACATATAAGTGCTGCTGATGCCTTGCCATTTACGGATTTTCTTTACATATCCTCCTAGTTGGTTTTACTTTATTTTTACTTAACACACGATTCATGATCACTTAACGCACGATTCATGATCACTTATATCTTTTTAACACAGCATCACGATAGGAACCAGACGCTTTTTCACAACCTTTTCGGTCGCATCACTATGACGTCATCATGTCCTCGTCAATCCCACACGCGGTCACTTGAGTACTACACTGCGTCCACACACGGATCTGGGGTGTTACACCTGCACTGTAAGTGATTAGCTCTTAACAATTTATGCCCTATATATACAATTTTCTCACTTGTATTTGTATCTTGACAAAGACCTCCTGGGTCAAAACGTTGATCCCCTTCACCACACATAAAGTTTGATTGAAAAAGTGCTCTCTTCATCGTTTTCCATATTTATTTACGCTGTGCAGCACCGAGGTTATTACAGAAGCTGATTTAAAGGTAGAGTGCCAGATTTCCATATATATTTTTATTTATATATAATATATATATATATATAAAATAATCAATAAATAAATTGAAAAAAATAAAATAATAATAAAAAGAAATTTGAAAAAAGTTATATACCATTTTTAATTTGTTCTAACTGTATTTTGATATTAATATACATATATATTACATTCAAAATACATTTAGAATGATGTTATAAATACATATATTTATCTCTCTCTCTATATATATATATATATATATATATATATATATATAAAGCTATATATAAATAAAAATAATAAAAATTATATATATATATACATATATATATATATATATATACATAAACATATATATATATATACATATATATTTAAATTCTACAAATATATTTATATAATATTTTTACATAATTAAGTCATTTTATTAATTACAATCTGAGAGACCTGCCCGACAACCCAGGCATAAAGTCCAGGGAATTTGTCTCACAAGCCCTATATTTAACCCTGTAACTTTCTAGGACACCATAAAACCTGTACATGGGGGTTACTGTTCTACTTGGGAGACTTCGCTGAACACAAATATTAGTGTTTAAAAACAGTAAAACCTATCACAACGACGATATCATCAGTAAAAGACTGGATATACCCCATTTGCAATACCTTGGGTTGTCTACTTTTGCAAATGGTATGCCATCATGGGGGTAATTCTCATTCCTGGGCTACCATACAGTCTCAAAGGCAAAATAACCAATCTGGCAAATTTCAATGTGAAAAAAAGGAATTTCAAGCCTTATATTTGACTCAGTAACTTTTGAAAACACCATAAAACCTGTACATGGGGGTTACTGTTTTACTCGGGAGACTGCGCTGAACACAAATATTAGTGTTTAAAAACAGTAAAACATAGTACAATGATGATATTGTCAATAAAAATGAATTTTTTTGCATTTTTCATACACAAACTGTACTTTCACTGACGATGTAATTGTTGTGATACATTTTACTATTTTGAAACACTAATATTAGTGTTCAGCAAAGTCTCTCAAGTATAACAGTGCCCCCCATGTACAGGTTTTATGGTGTTTTGACTGACCACTTCTCCAGGTAGTGTTCCTAGAATATTCTCTGCCCGGTCTATAGGCCTTATCATCCCTAAAGGAGACAGGTTCCCTTTAAGGTCTACGGTCCAGAAGTGGTTTCCTTGGTCTCTTGTCCTGTGGAAGAAGGACCTGCTTGGCATCTGCCCTCCTCGTAATGGCTTTTTCTAAATGCTTGCCAAAGAGGACATCGCCCAAAAGGGTAAAGCACACAAATTGTGTTTTGATGCTATGTCTGCTCCCCAAGATCTCAACCATAGGGCTCTTCTAGTGGATACTGAGTATCCTATAGTTTTAGAAATGACCTTGATAAGGTCTGTAGAAGCCTCTGAAAACCATTCACTTGCCAACTTGACTTCTTTCAGGGACTCAGAGATGTTGTGTCTACATACATCTTTATCCAGGTCTTCCTCTATATCCATGATCCAGACCTTCATAGCCCTTAGGGCTACCTGGCCCAAATGGCCTAAGCCTGCAGCAACAAACAATTTTGATAGGTTGGAGTCAATTATCTTATCCATTGGTTATCTAAGAGAAGCATTACCATCAATAGGTAGTGTAGAATGCTTAGCCACCTTAATAACAGGCGCATCAAATTTAGGATTTTAAATCCATATTCTAGAATCCCCTTCATTAATAGGGTAAAGCTTTGGGAGACAAGATTGCAATGAAAATCTCTTCTCTGGAGTGACCCATTCGTTTCTCATAAGCTCCTTGATAGATTTGTGCACTTGAAAGGAGACTCTTTTGTGGCTCAGGTCCCCAAAGAACTTGTCTGAGGCAGATGACTCGTGTACCTCTTCAGGAATCTCCAGGGTTCTCCTGACCAAGGAGATCAGATGCTCCACGGCCTTGGAGTCACTTGAGGAAATTTGTATGCTCCACGGCCTTGGAGTCACTTGAGGAAATTTGTTCCAATTCCCAGGAGTCTGCTGCACCTTGTCTCTCCTCCTCCGAAGATTTTGAACCCATTTGGAAGGATTCTTGTCTAGGCCTCTTGTAGATTTGGCAATCCCTTCTGCCATGCCTGTTTAATCCATGAGGCTATATCCTGTGCAGAGGTTGAAGCCTAGGGTGCCTGCTGTTGTTGTTCAGATTCACCAGCAATAAGGGCTAAGCATTTTCTGCAAAACCTACAAAGGCTTTGCTGCACATCCTGCGCAGGCCACCGACTTCTCCGTGATGGAGATCTAGGGCCCGACCGGTCTTGAGGGCTGTTGAAGCAGAAGTCACATAAGACTGTTCCCTCTGCGCACTCTTTAATTATAACTCCGAATAAAAAATAACAAAATATATATTGCTCACCTATGGCCTATAATGGATGATTTGGCTGACGTAGGAGAATGGTCCATATCAACCTGAGGGAAATGGCGTCTCTAGGATTCATTTTTAGGGGGGACACATGGTGGGCCAGGGACAAAAGTATGGGGGCACATTTAACCCTGCCCTCACCACATTTTGACCCCGCCCCTGCCGCATGTTAAGCCCCGCCCCTACACAATGTGTTTTTGGTTTTTTGTTTTTTTTATAATCCCTGGTGGAGAATTAATTATCTTCCACCAAGGATTATTAAAAAACAAACACATTTCCTTTGATACAGTCCATACACACACACACACAGAGACTGCTGAGTCCTTACACACACAGAGACTGCTGAGTCCATACACACACAGACACACAGACTGCTGACCATTCGCACACACACACACAGACTGCTGAGTCCATACACACACACACACAGACAGACACACAGATTGCTGAGTCCATACACACACAGACACAAACACAGACTGCTGAGTCCATACACACAGACACAGACTGCTGAGTCCATACATACACAGACTTCTGAGTCCATACACACACACACACACACACACAGACTGCTGAGTCCTTACACACACACACAGACTGATGAGTCCATACACACAGAGAGTCTGCTGAGTCCATACAAACACAGACACATAGACTGCTGAGTCCATACACACACACACACACACACACACAGACTGCTGAATCCACACACACACACACACATACACACAGACAGACTGCTGAGTTCATGCACACACACACACAGACTGCTGAGTCCATACACACACAGACACAAACACAGACTGCTGAGTCCATACACACAGACAGACTGCTGAGTTCATACACACACACACAGACTGCTGAGTCCATACACACAGACACAAACATAGACTGCTGAGTCCATACACACACACACACACACACACACAGACTGCTGAGTCCATACACACACACTGCTGAGTCCAAACACACACACACACACAGACTGCTGAGTCCATACACACACAGAGACTGCTGAGTCCATGCAAACACACACACAGAGACTGCTGAGTCTCTGTGTGTGTGTTTGCATGGACTCAGCAGTCGAACGGCCTCGTTTGTGAGTGCCGTTCACGCATGCATGCTGAGTATTGTGTCAGAATCAGCACATAGACTTTCCTGGACCCGAACTTGCTTCTACGAGAGAGATCAGCTGACTGAAATAAGATTCCTGGAAGACCACATGACGTACTAAAGAGTCAGTAATCTCTATAGTCTCCAGGGGTTCCCATCTACCAAGAGGTGGGCTACATGTAACCTGGAGCTTCCTGGGCAGGGAGGCTGACCTGCCCAGGGTGAAAACTACATCAATAGTCAGGTGAGCAAAAAAAGAAAATAACAGAACAAACTGTCTGTCCCTTGGCTAAGAGGACAGGAAAAGAAGACTGAGAAACTGGGGCTGACTAGAATCCTTATGTACCTGACCACTTAATTGTTTACTTAAGTTTTTCCTGTCCTATTGGCTAGAGGGAGGAGCTAACCCATTAGTTAAATGCTGCCATGATTAGCCAGGAAATATAATTCAACACAATATAACATACAATAACTATATTACTTACAAATATAATTTATTGTGACAACAATAATCTACTGTATACGATAGTAACAATCAGTGATCATTTATTCAAACATGTCAGAATGTAATTTCCATAGTAGACATTGAAATCTGGATAATGCACAATTTAGTTACTGGCTCAAATAATTTATCACAAACAAATACCATAACTCAACATAATATATTGCATTAATAGTTTAATATTCTTCCATAATATGACAGGATATCATATTGCAATACCTCCTACAATAAACAGACATAGACCACATGTATTCCTGGAGTTTTAAATGAGAAAAATGGCACATTTGATGCCTCTACGAAGTAACAATTAGTTGTTGAGGAAACCTCTAATAATAACCAACTATTTCTAAAAATGGTTGTGAACCAAATTAACATTTTTGCAATCCATTCACCAACTAAACAATCTCAGTGTGGAATTGCAAACTGACAATATGCTAACACGTTCAAAAAAATGGTGGTAAAAATAATTATATCTAGCTATGTTGGCATGCAATAATATTGTGTAGAACAAATCAATAAAAATAATATCAAATATTCAATGGAAATACTAATTGTAATTAACCTCTGTGTCTGCAGTAAGCAAATTCTACAGGTATTTGCAAGATAATAGGTTTTGATTAATATCTGAATTTTAACAAATGAATGTATCCATAATTACAGAATTTATACTTTACGACTTTTATGACTATTTTCCCCAAAATGAATATATTATTAAAAATGTTAAATCAGGCAGTAGAGTGCTGGCTCAGGCATGGCTGAACCCAGCTGTACCTTCCATCGAAACTGTACTCCTGAAACTTAAGAACAACTACTTGATGGACAAACTGACACCTCAGGTCAGGCCATCAGGGGTACCATGAAAACATTTGCAAAGGTGTGGGAGCCATGGGAGACCTACGTTGACAACCCCTAGGGTAGTCCAGGAAGCTCCGTGATGTAGGCACTGAAACCGTGAAGGGCTTGGGGGCCACTCTGTCTGCGTTACATGACAATCTTCTCTCCCTCTTCTACTTTTTTTTGTTTTATTCTTCAATTTCCCTCTCTTCTATATTGTACTCCTAACCAGGGTTTTCCCATGGTAGAGTTAAAACCCGTGACTGGCGAGACTCTATCAGAGAACTTCAGCATTTCAACAATGGGTGCCAAGGGCCCAAGATTTTCTTGCTAAAAATGAAAGCCACTAGGATGCCACAACAGTGTTAAGCTTGGGTATGCTGATTTTTTCGCTGAAGTGACCACAACAAAACCACCACAATGCTATGGTTTATTGTCAGAGTGTTCCACTGGCAACCTGTGGCACCTTTCATATGTCTGTAATTTTTTTGTATCTAATAATTCTGTATTTTACTACATTGACCACAGTTGATTTATTTTGCTGTTCTCGCTGCTCAAACTTAAATAAAGAATGGAAAAAAAATGTGAAATCAGTTAATTGTCATACCAATACAAACTATAATAAATTTCTAATTACCACTTAGTCACTTGTTTTCCTTCCCTTCTCTGTGGATAAGGAATATGGAATTAGTTTTGATAGAAATTTTTTTTAATGAAAAATACCTTGATAACTTGCTGCAAAGGAGAATACATAAAGAAACATAGAATGTGACGGCAGATAAGAATAATTCAGTCCATCATATGTTATTTGCCCTAAGATAATACATTTCTTAGTTATTCAGCAGTTCTAGTTAATATGCTAATATTTTGGGGGCATAATATGTCTGGCAGAGTCTAAGGATTTGCTGCAAAAATGGAACAGGTGAATATTTGAATTCATATATTTTAAAGACATGATGACACATGGGCTAATTAATGGACAGAGAGTACACAAATTTTTGGGGGACCACAGGTGTGCAGTGACAAGTGGCTATTATTCTGGGTTTTCAATAAGATCCCATACATTTAGGGAGCCTTGTGTAGTAAGGTATAACTGTGAGGAATGATGACATCAAGGGGTGTAGTTGCAAACATATCACATAACAAATATACCTCTGCATTCAGACATGAACATTCCTCGCATTACACCCCAGCATTATTAATACACTGACACTGTATGATTATGTAAACCCCGCATTCACAGACACAATGTGTGTGTAAGAATGTAGGTTTTTGGGATTTTTTTCCTTGGCAGTGTGAGCCACCTCCCCTCCCCTTTTTGTTTGTGTTCCCCCTAGTCATTCATATATCTATAAAAAAAAAATAATGTTCTAAAAAAAACTCGTTCCCCATCTGTAAGTTCCTTTGCTTATGCTTTGCATTTTATTTCTATCTGGTGTTTATATTCACCTTGGTGATTATATGTTTTGTTTAGTATTTTTATTTTTTGTTGTTTAAAATAATTTAATTTATGCAGCTGAGCTTATTTTTAGTGAAATATTTAGAAGATGAAGAAAAGGAGACAGAGGAAATGAAAGGAATAATGGAGGTAAGAGGGAAATATTGAAGAAAAGGGGAGAGAAGAGATGTGGAAAATAAAAAAACCAGGGCTGGGGATATATTAGAGTTGGTAAGTTTGTTTCTTTAATTGACTAGACATCTCTCCGTATCTCTTATAATCATTTTTGCTCACACTTACTAACTTTGGGTACAATTTGTGTCATACTAACCCTACATTCTGTCCTTAATATTTATACTCCTTATTTTTTTTAGTGGCTTTACTGTTGCTAATGGGCTAAAAGCTTCTTATGCGTTTGTATATATTTGTTTACAAGGTCATTTTTTTAAATTCAAATTTCTTCTACTACTTATTTTGTTTCTTGAAATGTATTTCCTTCATGAAAACCTACTGTATTTATCATACACTTTATCTAATTAAACTTGTTTTAAAATAAAAAACAAACAAACAAAAACAGCTTTGATCTCTTGGTCTTATTTAACAGATATAAAGACTTCATGCAGCTGTACAGGACTTCTTGGCATCCTCAGTGTATTGTCATTTTCCAGTTCTGTTTTTCTTATGCCACCCAACACGTCATCTTTGTCAGTGCAAGCTGGAATTCCTCAAAATGTGTTTTTTTCTGTCCCCAAGAATGAGGGGAGGCATGCTAGAGGAGAGGAAATGTGGTAGCCAGGAAGAAAAGTGTTAAATGAATAGCCTAGGATGAACAGGGGGGTGATAAATGATGGCAATTCTTAGAGGAGGAGGTTTAAATAGACAGACAGTGCAAAATTCAAAGGAAGTAAAGGGTAGGGCAGGGGCAGGGGCAGGGGCAGGGAGGATAGGTTGAAAGGTACATTGAGGAGAGAGAAGGATGCCTACACCACCTCCTTTACAGTAGTTTGGTCTGGGAGTGTGGAAGAATTGTAGCCCACCATAACATAATGAAGCAGGAGTAGCAGTATCAGAGGGGGACAGCCAGGTCTTAGTGAGTGCAAGAAGTGTGAAAGAATTTGAGATGAAGAGGTTGTGTATGGCTGTTGATTTTATATTGCAGGCATTCCAGAGTGCACACTGAATATTGGTAGATGGGGATAGACGGCATATTATTCGGATGATGTTTTGTGTGGTTTCTGACTGACTTAGTGTGAGTACAGGAGATGACATGCCCTGGGTTGGGAGAGACATCACCAGCTGCTAGAAGCAGGAGGAGAGATAGACAGAAGATGTGAGTGGGTTTTATATGGATGGAGTCTGGAATGAGATCGAGTGGGAAAACGATGGTGAGAATAGAGAAAAGAGTGCAGGGCATGAGATGAAACAAGGGGGGGCGTGCAGCATAGAAGGGTTAATGTGGAGGATGTTGGGAGGTTGAGGGAAGTAGGTGTAAGGAGAGATTTTGATACTGAGGGAGAAAAGAGAAAATAGGAGGAGGACAAGATAGATCATTACTTAGATGGGTATGCACTTCCAGAAAAAAACTTGGAAGTTGGGAGTAGGTTAGGTGAGGCACAGAGAAGAGATGCAGTGATGTAGAAAGCTGGGTAGAGGTGAGGAAGATAAAGTAGAAAATTGTTTCCATACTTACCGTTATTTTCTTTTCCTGGCTATTATACATGGCAGCATCACATATGGGTAAGCTCCTCCTCCCAGCTGTCAGGACAGGAATAATTAAACAATTAAATCCAATAAAAGCCCCCTCCCCTCTAGACCCCTCAGTCTTGTTAAATAGCCCCAGTTGAAGAATCCAGAAGGGAGAGAGCGTGATGCTGCCATGTATAATAGCCAGGAAAAGAAAATAACGGTAAGTATGGAAACAATTTTCTACCCTGGCCATATATGGCAGCATCACATATAGGTATTACCCAAGCTCTGAAGAAGGGTGGGGTCTTAACAAATGGTTAAAATTTCAAATATTTATTCGTTATTCCCTGCCACTGAAGCAAGAACACCCTTCCCAAAGCGGGCCTCTTTCGAGGAAGACAAATCCAGTTTGTAGTGGTTGACAAACGTTATCGGAGAGGACCATGTAACTGCCTTACAGATGTCCTCAACCGGCACCTCCGCTCTTGAAGCCCATGAAGCCCATGAAGTAGCCAGCTTTCTTGTTGAGTGTGGTTTGATGACACACGGCGCCTGATGACCTTGGGAAGTGTAAGCCCTTTCTATCACTAGAGAAAGCCATCTTCTCAATGTTGTAGTGGATGCTGCTTCTCCTTTTTTACTGCCTGAGGGCAGAATAAAAAGCTTGTCTGACTTACTGAAGTCCTTTGATCTCAGTAAGTAGATCTTTAGGCATCTCATCACATCCAGCTTGCTCCATTCTACTTCTTCTTCGTTAGTCGGATTCGGAAAGAATGAAGGTAGAACAATTTCTTGTTGAATGTGGAATCTGGAAACTACTTTCGGAAGGAAGTCAGGTTTAGTAACCAGCACCACCCTATCCTGATGGAACACTGTATAAGGTTCTTCAGAGCACAATGCTTCGATCTCTGATACTCTTCTGGCCGATGTAATAGCTACTAAGAATAGAGTTTTCATGGTGAGTAAGTAAATTCCAATTTCTTCCAGTGGCTCAAATGGAACTTTAATGAGAGCATTAAGTACTAGAGGTAAGTCCCAAGGAGGCGCCAACTGTTTGGTAGGTGGTCTAATCCTCAAAACTGCTCTAAAAAATCTCATTATGAGAGGATCCAGAGCCCATCTGGAATATGTCAAGACTGAAATTGCCAAAACGTGGACTTTCAAAGTGCTCAGACTAAGTCCTTTATCCCTCTTGAAGGAAGTTTAGGACATCTGCTCCGCTTGGTGCATCACAAGGTATTCCCTTATCCACCATCCAGGAACAGAACTTTCCCCATATTTTATAGTAGGAGGCCGACGTATAGCATTTCCTGGATCCTAGTAAGGTATTAGAGACAGATTCAGATAGGCCCGATTTCAAGAGGTTGTTTTTCTCAAGAACCATGCCACTAACTGAAGTGACTGGGGTTCTGGATGCACTGCTGGACCCTGGATGAGCAAATCCCCTCTTAGAGGAAGTATTATTGGGACTCTTTGGCTCATTTGTAACAGGAGCGGAAGGTCTCCTCGGCCATGATGGGATGATTGCAATCACTGTGCAATTTTCATTCCAAATTTTCCTCAGTACTTTGCTGATTAGTGGTATTGGTGGAAAAATGTAAGCCAGTTCGAACTCCCACTTTTGAGATAGGGCATCCTGGGCTTCGGCTTGGTTGTCTTTCCATCTCGAGTAGAATCTGGTTGTTTCCGCGTTCCTCGCCGTGGCCATCAAGTCTATTTGCGGTGTCCCCCATGTCCTTACTACCTGAAGGAAGACTTCCCTTTTTAGAGACCATTCCCCTGGCTTCATACTTGCTCTGCTCAGGAAATCTGCTAAAGTATTTTCTGTTCCCGGTAAGTATACTGCTTTCAGGTCTTTCAGGTGAATCATGGCCCAATGCATAATCGGTTGTAGTTGTGAAAGCAGCTGATGGCTCTTTGTGCCTCCTTGGGGGATCAGGCAGCAACCACCCTGTTGTATGTTCTTACCAGCAGCCTCTTCCCCTTCAGGTAAGTTGCAAAAGACATCAGTGCTTTGAAGACTGCCCTCATCTCCAGAATGTTGGAGTGAAGAAGTCTGGTAGTTCCATACTCCTTGCGCAACAAGGTTCTTGTAGTGAGCTCCCCATCCTCTTGTACTTGCATCTGTAGTAATTATTTCCCATTGGGGATCTTCCAGGGGGGAACCTTTGGTCAAGTTGTATCCTTCTGTCCACCACCTTAGGTGAAGCTTCAGGTCTTGGGGAGGTATAATCCATTGATCCCAGTTCATTGCAGACTTGTTGATCTGTGTGTGGAAATTCATCTGAGCCTGTCTCGCCTTCCAATGTGCCCATCTGACCAGACCTATGGTCGACGTGAGGGATCCCAGGACACTCATATAGTCTTTTGCTCGAAGTCTTGTCCTTGGAAGTATTCCTAAAATCTTGCTCTTGATCCGAGCGATGCGATCTTGGGAAAGAGAGATAGATAATCTTTCCCCTTGAAAAGGTAATGCACAAATGCTGGCTTTGGAGGCGTAGTCCGCTCCCCAGGAATGGAGCCACAGTTCTCTTCTAGCCGCCACAGATAATGCAAGGCTTTTTGAGAGAGATTAGTTTTCTGCGTCCTCTTCCTTGGAGATCAATCCTAAGAAGTTCTAGGGCTGAAAAAACAAGGCCGTCAATGCACTCTTTTTGTACCCCCATGAACTGGACTCACCTTTTTTTCTAGTTATGCTTCTATAAACAAAGTAACTAAATTAGAAACATTCCAGATAAATTTTAAATATTTCACCTGTAATTTTAGCAATATTTGCCACTTTAACTAACCTTGTGGAAGAAAGCAGAACGCTAAGGTAGCTACAGTGAAACAAACGCCTGAATTTTAAATTTCCCGGGTAAATTCTAGCCCTGGTATACTTTATACCACTAGATGGCGCTAGCGCGCCTATAATAGCTTACCGTGCATGCGCGAAAGTCCCGCGGTCGCAATGCTGGAGCTTCCATTGCCGAAAACTGCACGCCAGCTGCAAACAGGAACCATGCCCTGCTGGACCCTGTGGATTCCCTGTAAAAGGTAAGATGGCTTCCCACTCTCCCTAGACAGGGGT